ATTTTAGCCTTGAAAGCAAACACACCCTGTGTATCTCAGGATGTTAGGATGCTACAAAGCTCATTTATAGTACATTTGTTAGTTTTATTGGTGTAGGTACCCATTATTGCCCCTCTAAGGGAGTAGACTCCCTGGAGAGAACTGCTTAATGTCTCTCCCTTTTCAATGAGAAAAGCACTGGACAGTGGTGAAGGAGCACAAGTCTGCATTCCTGAGGGAAGGGTTGCCTGAGAAGCTGCTTGCCTGAGCTGAAAAGATTTTACAGAGGGAGAAATAGGCAAAGTTTCTCTCCAAATTCTGCTTTAAGATCACTAACTGCATAACAGTCAATCCTCCGCTTCTTTCATTAGAGCTGGACACAAAGCAGCTCATAGAAAGACTTCATTTCACAGACTCCTGGGTATAAAGGCTCAGTCACCTGGCCAGTGGTGAATTCCACTGCCTGTCCTGTGTGCCCCTGTGTTTGCCCAACCTTCTTATGAGCTGGCACAGACATGCCCATGACCAACAAGGACTCTGCCAGCAAGAATAGCACAAAACTGAGAAAAGTAAGACAAACAGAAGGAATCTGTGATCCTGCAGGGCCACAGAGAGCAAAGCTAGTCCAAAATAACAGAAATATATTCCTCTCCACTTCCATGAGATGCTGCAAGCCCCTTTCATAACCATGAAATAGATTACACCTTAATATGTGTTATAACATTTTGGATTTGAAATCTTAAAACGGAACTAAAGCACTCTTGGATGATATTTGTTTTCTCTGTTTAATACAAACCTTCCAGAATTTCTAGAAGTAGTCTTTTTAAAAAATAGTAATATGATTATTTTATGAGTTCACATAAGACAACTGTACAAATTAAAGAAATACATATATAAATACATATACATATATTCATTCTAAATTTACTATAAGTGGAAGAATCTTGGAAAAACTATAGCATATTGCTATGATACCCTCAAGCACATTCATGTGCCATGAATACAGGTGAAAACACAGATGTTATTATGGACTACACAAAGTGCATACGCTGAAGTCCCAACAAACTACTTTAGTCTGTGGCTATATTCACAGATGAGGTCTTTAAAGAGATCATTCTATGGGCTTCAATACAATAAAATAGTGTTCTTAAGAAAGTGATTACACATACAGCACCAACTGGGACAACCATAGGAAAACACAAGGAAAAGACAGTCACGTACAATGCAAGCAGAGAGGCACCAGAAGAAACCAAGTCAGCCAACGTCTTGATCTCAGACTCGTATCCTTCAGAACTGTGAAAAAATAATTCTGTTGTTTAAACCTCTCAGTCTGAGGTATGCCAGCCCTAGGAGACTAAAGCAGAAGTAAAGTCAGGTTCTGACTCTTTTCCTGGAACCCAGGAGGGATTCTCTGGGTTTGTTCTCTGATTTAAAAAAATAAGGGAAGAAACCTAGAGATAGAAGGAAGCATCACATGATTTTCAGTAATTGAAACCTTTGGCTATTTTACAAGGAAAAAGAAAGGACTTATTCAAGCTTTGAGTGTATCTGAACTTTCATTAAGTATTTTACTTCCTTCCCCAAAATAACTTTAGATCTATGCCTCCCCCTCCCAATGTACTACCCCTCCCAAAATCCAAAATCCAAATCGAATCCCAGACAGATTAAAGACTTAAGTGAAAAAGGTTAAAAGCAAATACAATAAAATGTAGGAAGTCATTTTGTAGCCTATGACTCAATGAAGTTTAACAGAACATGAAGCAAAATCCTCAATTGATAATAACATAGGCAGGTGGCTTAACTTCATCAAAAGGAAGAATTGTGGTTCAATTCAATGATGTCTTAGAAAAACTTAACAGACTAAAGAAGATAGTCAATATTTAAAGCCAAAAGAGATTAATATATGGATTATACCCCTGAGAAGAAACAAAACTTCTACAAATCAACACAAAAATAATGCTACAACCAATGTAAACATGTACAAAATATGAGCAGGTAAAACCCGGTTGTCTTATAATCACATGAATAAAAGTTCAATGCCATTAGTAATAAAAAGAACTGAAAGTTTAAATATCAGTAAGATTCTATGTCACCCATTAGAATGACAAAAATTAAAACACTAGATAACATAAAGTATTGAAAAAGACATGGTCTCTTAATTACTTTTCTCTTGTTGCTGAGACAAAATACTTGATGCCCAAAATGCAGGAAGGAAACATTTATTTAGCTCACAGTTTATAGAGGTTTCAGTCCATATTTAGCTGGTTCTGAGGCAGGGTGACGTGAAACAGAGACAGCCCTTTGTGGTGGTAGCAAGTATCAAAAGACATGAGAGTGAAAAGGGGCAAAAGGGAAAACCACGCCTCCTTCCCTACCTTATATTTTATGTCAGCTATACACCCTGGGCGGGTGCAGCACCCCCACTGTCAATTCCAACACTAAACACTGAACCAATCACAAACTCTGGACTCAGCCACCTTAGAAAGGCCCACCCCACCCATGCCCACACGAGGCTTTGGTAGGACATCTAGCACAAATGATAGCATATGGGAATGAAAGAAAGTATTAGACTATTAGACACCATTGGATAAAATATCAGCTAGCCCAAGTGGCTCCGGAAAGCAGTCTAGACATATTGGGGAAATGATCCAGCAATTGGTTTCTGAGTGTGTGTGTGTGTGTGTGTGTCAGTGTAGTCACACTCAGACCTATAAGATAATGTTTACCTGAATATTACTAGCTATAGTACAGTATATTAGAAATAATGCCTATAATCAGGAAAAGATTGTAAAATGAGATAGAGGTTCCTATGGTTTGAATCACTCTTAAACGTTTCACGAATGGGGAAACAATATGACTATGGAAAATTAAAGGTGGGGTCTTTGGGAGGTGTTTAGATGTAAATAAATTCATGATGGTGGAGACTTTGTAATTGAATCTTGCTGGCTTTGTAAAGGAAAGAGAACAAAAGAGAAACACATCCAACCATACATGTTCCATGTCTCTTATCATGTGATGTTCTGTGTCACTTCAGGACTCTACCACTAAAATGGTCATCACCAAATATGGCCCCTTAACTTTGCACCTCCAAAAACAGTATGCCAAAATAAACTTACTTTTTATACTTACACCAATCTATGGTGTTACATGATTAGCAACAGAACACTGACAAATAGAGACATACTGTGAAAATACAACTATCTAAAATAAAAAACTGTACACAGAATAATAGAGAGATGTAAAATACAGATTCTTGAGTTTTTACTGCATCGTTCCAACTAACCATGACATATTTTCTACAAGATATGTAAATTAAATGTGGTAGGGGTCTTTCAGAGAAGAAATGGAGATTAAGGGGAGTAGAATTGGGTCTTGCATGCACTGATGATGCTTTACTAAAACCTGAGGAGTGTAATTATTTCAATTCTTCACCTGAAATGCAAACACACACACACACACACACACACACACACACACACTTCTCTAAGTTCCTCCCCAGTTAGAGATCCTGGAGCAAAATCATCTTATCTTTCTAAACATTTTTGGATTTATACCTCAGGGATTCCAAAGCAGGATTATTTCTGCCTCAGCCCCACGGACAACTTGAAATTATACTGCTCTTAGCATCACCTGGACCACGGGGTCCATATAGGCATCACACATCAGCGGATGACCAGAACATCCAGGCACATCTTTCCCCAAAATACCTTTGCTCTTTTCCTGTACCCTTGCTATATGACTTATTTCCCTATTGGATGGACATTAGCTAAGAGACTACGCTTGTAATCCTACAGGTTGACTGTAGTTTGACCCACATTGTACCAACATTGTGAATTTGCTGTATAAATTATAAAGGGACTTGGTGGCCACCCACTCAGAACTCCTCCTGGAAATCCAGGAGCTATTCTCTTGATTTTCAATAAAACATTCCTGTTGGAGCCCTTGAAGCTGAATACACGTACAGGGCTGTAGCGTGGCTTGGGCGTGGCTGAACTGAGGAGGAGGAGACACCTCAGGGAGGCAAAGTTAGGCCATGGCTGAGGCCACCTAGAGACTTTCTGGATGGTTTTCCTTAATTAATATCATCTGTTGCTCTGAGGTGGTCCTTGAACCCCTCCCAAAATCCAGCTCAGGTTTCCTCCATTGTCCACTCAACTCCTTGCTTGTTCCGATTAAATAGGAACTGCCCAGCGTTAGTAGGCCAGCCAGCTAGTTAAGAGCTCTGACGCTCTGAGGAGGATTGTAGTTCTCCTGTAGCCCTAAGCTCATGATGCTTGTCTCATTTCTTTGGGCCTTTGTCTTGCACCCTTTTGGTTATTGAGTACCCTGGCACAGATGCCAACACTCTCCTAACTTCCTTCTTTGGTTTAGGAGCAGGAACTCCGGCACATTGACATTTAACAATTGGGAGATCTTTTTCCAATATCAAAAGGATACATTATGTCTCCTGACATATCCTAGTTTTATTATGTAGCTAATGGTAATGGTGTTTTTGCTTGTTTTGTGCCTTTTTTTTTTCTTTTTAAATGAAATAATAAGGTCTTAAAGCCTCTGCAAAGCCATTATCATCCAGTTTTGGTGCAGCAGTAATCTAATCCTAATATACTCAGACCTTAAAGAGACTTTTTTCTTTTCCACATTTAAAAAAATTAATTTTAAGACTCAAGACTTAAATTGCTTTTCAAAAAGCAATTTTTAAAAATAAAGTTAGAAAATATGAGTGCAGAGGCCGACTTACAGCTCATGGCACAGCACCTGCCTGGCAAGTGCAAGGTTCTGAGTTCAATTCCCAGTACTAAAAAGAAATAAAGAAAAAGAAAAGAAAACACGAATACATTTACACTTTTTCCTAAGATACATCCTCGCCATTGCCTTTATGGAACGGAATAACCAGACACTGAATTATTCTTTGGAAACCACAGGCTGTCTCTTTAAGAACTGAAAGGGAGGAGGCGGGACTCCACCCTGGAGCAGGCTCTGATTGGCCCTTCCGGCAGGAAGTGGGCGGTGAACGCGCCGTTTCTGTCATTGTGCGACGCTGCCTGGCGCGAGGCCTGGGCGACCGCGGGTTTTAAGTCGCAGCAGTCGCCTTCGCTTCTGGCGGGCGTGTGGACGCGGAGCACGGCACGGGCTTCGGCAGCCTTCGTGAGGGGGTGCCGAGCCCTCGCCAGCGGACGGGCGGGCCGGCTGGGGTCGCGGCCCCCTAGCGCGCGCTTCTCCCCGCGCCCCGCAGCCAGCACGACCGCCATGGCGCAGCGCGCCTTCCCGAACCCCTATGCCGACCACAACAAGTCCCTGGCCGAGGGCTACTTTGACTCTGCTGGGAGGGTGAGTTTGGGGTCCGCCTCGGCCTCCATCCCACGCGAATTACACCATTATGTACGTAAAGCGTGAGGTCGGGGGTGAGGTGAAACCCCCTGCACCACTGAGAACATGAATGATGAAGATTGGGCTCTGCACTGCGCCGCGTTGCAGGCGTCCTACAACCGCGGTGTTTGCCCGAGCCCCCCGAGGAGAGGCGCAGATCCTCCTCGGAGACCGCACAGCAGCGGGCTTCACGGCTGTCCTTAAACTGATGCTGCTCGGGGAGAGGTGGGAAACAGGCTGGAAGTGCTTCCCGCCTCCACCACCCCTTACAGGACCTCCCCTCACCATGAAAGAAAAGAGAAACCGCAGGGCGTGAAACCAGTTAGCGAGTCACAGAGCGCTCGCGTGACACCGGTGTGGGTGTGGGACGCCGAGGCCCGTATGTTTTCTCACACCTGTCTGGGGAATTGTCACCGCTATTAAGCGTGCCTCGCTTTGGGAAATCCTGAGTGCGCACACACTTTTTTTTTCCTTACTAATTCATTCATTTGAAACTTAGCAAAATACAAAAAGCGTTTCATATGTGACATAATGGCCTTATAGCTTTCATATCCGTGGAGTTCACTTATGTGTGTCTGTTGGTTCAGCCCTTAAAACATTAGTGATTATAGATCATCTGGGTCAGATGCAGTTAGGGATGGATGAGAGGTATGGGTTTGAAGGCTAACAAAGTGTATATGGATTTAAGGTGAAACATTATTTAAAGACCAATATGGAGCTGCCCAAAGCTCTTTATAATAATCTTAAGGTGAGATGCTTCCCTTTGGTCCTTTGGGCCCGTGTGCTGCCCAGCGCAGACGCTGAGGCTGAAGTGTGTATCTTGTTGAAGGAGGAAAACTGTGACATGCTGCCTTAGAGGAAAGCGCTGGAGGGTGTGTCCTGATCTGTGGCTTCAGTAAAATGTAGTGCGCAATTTTGGCTGCTTATAAAAGAAGCACTTTTTACAAATTTAATTCGTTTCAAAGGAAGGGGAAAAAAGACCTTCATGAATGTGACATGTGACCCAAAAATAATAACGTCATTTACTATCTCACATAGTTTTTGGACAGATCCTATTAAAAAACTAGCACTTGGGATCATCAGTGTTGAACACTAAAGAGCAGACTCTAGAAATCTGGCCTACTTACTTTGTTAACATGAATATTTCAGTAAGAAATTGCTCTGTATTGTGACATTTGTGAAGAAAAAAAGGGCTTTTGGAGACTGATCACATTATTGCTAGAGTTTGAACACAAATGGTCAGTGGTCAAACACAGTATTTGAAGTCAGATCCCCTTTATTGAATGTATATGCCAGCTAGAAAGTAACATCCCTTGCTGAGGCCAAGAAAGCCTCAGAATTCTTAGTGTCTGTAAGTAATGCCAAGCAAGGTAGCAGGTCCGTGATTAGCGGAGGTGGCGAGTTGTCACATGGATATGCTCCTTATCTGAAATGTATAAGCCTGTGTATTAAAGTATATTTTATCTTACTAAACATTTTCGCCTCATTGAAATCATAACCTTTGGCAGGAAGAGTTAACTAATAGGAGTATCGGCCAGTGGCGTTTCCTCAGAGCGTGAAGTGAGGAATCATAATAGTGCTTCAGAATAAACCAGGTGCAGTTGAAAGTCTGACTTGCCTGCCAGGCATGGTGGTGCACACCTGTAATCTCAGCACTTGGGAGGCTGAGGCAAGAAGATTGTTCCAACAGCCTGGGCTACATGGTTCAAGGCTAGCCTGAACTTCATAGGGAGACCCTGACTCAAAAAAGAAGGGAAGTTCAGTGTGTCTTATCAGGGGCTACTCAGAAGGAAATATCTTTTTTAAATTATTAATTCTAACACTACCTCTTTATCTTCTGTAGTCTTGAGCCTTTGAAAAAATTAGATTCTGATGATACGTAGTACTTAAGTTTGTTTTTACAAGTCTTACATGGTGAAGTGCTTGTACCTTATAACGTTCTTTGACATTGTTTTGAAATTTTATAGCCTTGTAAAATGCAGTTCTGGGATAACAGCAAGTTCCTAAAATGCTCCATACGTGAAGTATGTCACTTAAGGGTGGTGAGGCCTCCCAGTTTCCCCTGCACAGTAGCCTTCACCTGGTGTTCCTGACCCCTGAGTCTGGCTGCAGTGTGCTCTCAAGCCATCTCCACATTACTCTTTGTTGTAGACGTGTGGGCTGCTACAGAAGGGTAAACGTGTCAACATTTATGTCCCTTGCAATCTGCTCCGCACAATTCGTTTAGGCACAATTCGTTTAGTGCCTGCAGAGTTGGCGGGGTAGGTGTTCTCATCCCGAGTTTATAAAGGTAACTGAGCATTGAGGCTGTCACTCGGCTGGCAGCAGTATGGATAGAGCCAAACTCATTCACTCAGCCACACTGGGATCCCTCCTCTCACCATCCTGTGCTGGGCAGGAGTTTTGATGGGGCCTTTAACATTCTTTTTCCTCTGCTTGAGGTTCCTGAGGCACATAAATGTGTTTTGCTTGCCTTACGCTACTTGTTCAATTTTAAAAAATTGCATGTAACCCAGGCATGCTGGTGTGTGCCCACAATCCCAGCACTCCGGAGGCTGAGGCAAGAGGATCACAAGTTCAGGCCCAACCTGGGCTACATAGAGAGCCCGAGGCCAGCCTGAATTACATGGAGAGACCCTTTCTCGCATAAGAAAAAAAATTGTGGGGCAATGAGGTGGGGTTTTTGTTTGTTTTTTGGTAAATAAAGCCAAAATGTTTCTTTCAGGGGATTAACATTGCTGCTGCTTGACTCCAGTGGCTTCAGAGCTGCTAACATCTTTTAATTTGTGGTTAACTTAATAAAATAATGTTTTGATTGTAAGACAAATAGCTGGTTTAAATAATAGATGATCCTTATTAGTTGAAATTTTTCATATAAAACATTTAAGTTATAGTAATATTTCTGGCTTTAAGTAGGAAAACAGTAGTACTTTTTCATTTGGTTAATCTGCTGTTGTGAATCACTGTTCTTCCAGACAGAAAAACACGACTTGGGTGAAAATGAAGCATGTGCTCTCCTGATCCTGGTAGCCTAGAGTGCCAGAGGTTGGGTGGCCCTGTTTCTTGATACTTGTTTTCCCTTAATCTCTACAGCTGACTCCTGAGTTCTCACAGCGTGTAACCAACAAGATTCAGGAGCTCCTTCAGCAGATGGAGAGAGGCCTGAAGTCAGCAGACCCTCGAGATGGCACTGCATACACAGGCTGGGCAGGTATGGAGCCGCCTTGAGCAGCCGAGCCAGGGCCAGGCCTCTGCTTGAGGGCCATACCCCGAAATGTTTGCTGTGTTGGCACTTGAGTCTGCATTTGAGTCACTCCCTTGAGGGGGTGCCATGCTCCCCACCCAGAGTGGCACCACCTCCCAGACCAATCCTGTTGTCCTGAATTTGGGCATTGTGCCCAGACCATCAGTGTTGGTGCCTGGGCAGCTCCTCTTGGCGTGAGGAGAGAAGCTGATTTTCAGCACTGCCTCCTTAAGGTAGAGGCAGAATTTCAATAGGGAGAGTTGGCGGAGTTCTAAATCTGAAACAAAGATGAGGATGATCCTCCTTAGCAAGTAAAACTGACCCATCTAGAAGGGTCATTTTGGAACTGTCACCCTGGGTCAGAGAGCTGTGCAGGAGTAGGAGGTAAATGCCTCAATCTGTTAACTAATCCAGAAATTGAGAGTTGAGTTTTCTTTAGGAAAATACAGTCTTTGCTCGTTGGTATGCGTTTGCTACATCACCAACCTCAGTATTACCAGTCTAAGGGCTTGGAAGACCGCAGGGAAGAAATGGTGTGCAAAAGGTGAGGAAGAGAAAACACAAAAGGAAAGCTGAAAACTATAATTAGGTCACCTAATATAGAGGGACAGGAAAAGGACAGTAGTCTACAAACTTATTCCCTGTTTACTTAGACAAAGAGGAATAACTTTGGTGGAGATGAGTTTTGATCTTAAGATGTGGTATTTTATGTACTGGGCCAGCACAGATTTGGATTCTGTAGGTAGTGAGCTACACCTGGGAGTCTTGCATTGTGATTTACAGGCAGCCCTTGTCTCCATGCCAATGATGATAGGTAGACTACAGCAAAGAGTTGCTTCATGAAAAGTTTCCTATAGTGGTTTCTTAGCAACACTTTTTAGTAACAGGTGGTTATATTTTTTCCTTATGAGGACAAGGAAGTCAGATAAATTAGTAGAATTAAAATTCATGGGAGTCTTAAGGTCTGTAGTTACCAGAATAGACAATATAGTATTCAACCACCCCTGTGCTGATGTAGTTTTAGTATTTTTGCAGATTTTAGAAGCTTGATACAAGAACTATTAACATAAGAATAAAAGCAAAATATTTAAACTTGAAGAAGGAAGTTACAAATAACAGTTGTTTTGCAGACCTAGTGTCATTGGTAAAATAATCCCATTAGAAAGCATTACTGGTTTTTCTTCCTTAAATCCTCCAGATTCAAACAAAACTCAGCAACTGCAGTACACAGTTGTCTGTCTTTCTTTTTGAGCACCACAGTGTAGTAACCAGAATTTTAGAGTTTCTATTATTATCTCCAGCTAAAAGGAAGAAAAAAGGAAAGGAGAGAGAGACTAAAATAAATGGCTAGACTTCATTCCAGGTTTGATTACAAAAAGAATGACTTAAGCCTCTAAGCACCCATTCACATGAGCTTATGTTACTATAAGGCACCTTGCTATAGGAGGAGGGAAGGTAGGGATTGATTTCAGTTTGAGTTAATTGACAACATTAGGGAAGCCTTTAGGCAGACCCCTAAATAATGGCTAAGGCTAGTTGAAAAACTAAAAATCAATCTTTCTTTAGAAAAAAAATTTTCACTCCAGAATAAGATGCAGATTATTTAAAATTTGTGACTGTATGCGATTTCTAGCATCATCTTGGATGCCGGTGTCTTTGTCCATAAAAGACATTTGTTGCTGGCTGTGGAGAGCAGCTTGTATGGCAAGCGTCTGAGGCAGACTGGTGTGCTAAGCATTTTAGGATGGCTTAGGTTGCTGTTTTATGATACAGCATAAAATCTAGATAAATTTGCGAATTGCTTTTGAGGCAAGATTCCTAATGTCCCCAAATCAAACACTGTTAAAAAGGCATTATCCTCACGTAAAATAGACTGTCTTCTCCTGTGTCTGATAATGCCAGTGGTCAGTCAATCTGAGTAACATAAAGCCCAGAGTTGCCTAATAGACTAGATCTGATCTGAGCCTAGAAAAATCATGTTAAAAGTTTCTCTTATGTTGTAGCTCAATACCTTATGTCTATTTATAGCTGCAATTCTATTACCAAAAAGGTTCATGCCAAAAAAACACAGTAGAAAATATTTGGTGTTTTGTGCCAAAGCAATACTTACACAAGGATGTATATATTTGCATGTTGCTTTGTGCATAGCCATGTTAGTTTTCTAAAAGTGATAGTTCCTAGAAAACAAGGATTACAGTTCTGTAACTTTGTTCAGCAACAAATTTAGAACCATATTTTCAAAGTATTACCTTATTGTTTGCTGTTGGTGCTCGTTTGTTCAAAATTGTATTACTTAGGGAAACATTATTCATTGTAGAAAACCTTTAAAACTTTAATCTTCATTGTTGGTATTTAATGAATATTTTTTATTGGTGTACATTGAAAGCTTTTGCAAGTATCTTTCCATTGTTATATACTTTGAGAGACTGCATGATTATAATTAATTGGAATTTTAAATGTCTTTTCCTGTTAAAGTTCATTGTCCAATAGAAAGATATTCCGGTAGCTAATGTTTGTCCAGGTAGGATTAGGACTTGGAGTATAATTAGATTCGGCTTTCTAAACCCAGAAAGAAGAAAAAATGATAGCAGTTTAAATTCGGTAATGCATTTCGTCTCACGTGAAAGAAGGCCAGAAGGCAGACAGAGGCAGCCCAGGGCTGATACTGCCGTAGCCTCACGGGGTTAGTAGGGATCCTTGTGTACTTTCTTTCAGCCTCCTCATTCGTCAGCTACTAGCTGCACCTCTTGATGAAGATGGCTGCAAGGGAGCCAGCCATTGTGTTGGTTTTTTAGGCTGCTGGAAAAAAGAAGAGGGAAAGAATGCAGTCCTGCTCCCTAAAATGACTTCTTAGAAGTCCTACCTGGTATTTCAGTCCTGCCCATTTTGCACTGTCTGGCACATAGTCACGTGGTCACTTTGTCAGTAAATGTAGTCTGTTACCAAAGTTTTGCTCTCTTACTACAGCAGAGTTGATTTTTAGATAAAACCTAGTAATCTGTTTCAACTCCTGGGTGGCAGAAAAGTGATCTTTATTCCTGTTTTGCACAAACCATTTAGACAGTAAATCTGAATTTTCTGTTTGCAAAAAGATCTCTTTAACTTTTGTCTACTTGGGAGTGGGGAGTGGATTTTTGCAAGAATAAAGTTATCAATAATAAAATATTTTGAAATTTGTTAAGTAATGTTTTATCTGCTCTTTTTCTCTAGGAAATTTCATTGTGTTTCATGATACCTTTATTTTGTACTTTTTCTTCACTTCAGTATTTGTCTTTCCATAAAGCCTGGTCTAGAAAGTGTTAGAGGAGTGTCACGTCCCTTCCTAGAGCCTCATCACAGTCCTAGCAGCAGCTGCAGCTGATCCTCGCGATTTCACAGCTTGCTGAAGGTCTGTCGTTCCCCTGCTGCTTCCCTGAATGCCGTCAGAGTCCGAAGCCCTTAACTTTCTTCTGTCTCGCGTCCAGGTTGGGCCCTGCCGTCACACACCTTCACTTCTTGGTGACTCTCACGCTGCCCAGCTCCTGTCTTCTGCTCGCACGGTGGCTAGATCTGTCTCTGTTGCGCATTTGTTCTTGAAGATGAGAGTTTGAGTCAGAAGATAGAGCACCTGTTGTGTTTTTTTTTTTTGTTTTGTTTTTTTTTTTGTTTTGTTTTTGTTTTTTCATTTTTATCGGTACCAGGGAGCACCTGTTGTGTTTAATGGTACACATGTTGGAGTTTTAATTTTTCCCATTTGCTGTCTGTTCAGCAAAAACTGAGACTAGTGATAACAGTCTACTTACTGAAATCTCTGCTCAACCATCTCTGTGTTATAGATGCTTTGAGGAATGATTATTACAATTAGAACATTACCATTTTGTTGATATTTGTTGTTGTGTTCGAGAGGCTCGTACTCTGTGGTTCAGGCTGGCCTTGAACTCACAGCCCTCCTCCGTCAGCCTCTGACATGCTGGAATTACAGGCACACCACCATACCCAGCCGGCCGGTACTGTCCCCTCATTACAGTTCATCCTGCAGTAGTGGCGCATCTGGCAGCTAATGCTGGGTCAGATAAGTTTGAGATGTGGAATAGGGTTATTCCAGGTAATCCATCCATAAAAATGCTTTTGTGGTCGAAGTGGTATGTACAAGCTTAAAGGAAAGCAAATAATTGCCTTAGGAAGTATTTTATTTTCACTTTATAAACTACTGTACAACTGAAATTACCTTGGCTTGTGTTTTTAAATAGGGAAGCACATGATGCAGTGAGGAAAGAGGTTAATGTAGGATTTTACTAGAATTCTGACATTTCCACTGAAGCCTACATACTCACACCTGTGGGTTTTTACGGTATTACACTACAAGTTCTATCCATGAATCTTATCTTTTCCAGTTCACAACAGAGAAGTGAAATGCTCTAGGACCCTAGGAAGAAAAGTGGAGAAATTTTTTTAAAACCGAAACCTGTCTCTTACTGGAAATGAGGTGATCATTGCCATAAATCCCTCTGGTTTCTCCTACTCATGTAGGGAAAGGGTGTTAGGATTAATCAATTCTTTAGGCATTGAGAGTTAATAAATTGCTGCTATACATTAGTGTTCAGCAAAAGAATGCAATAATTTAATAAAAATACAGTGAGTGAATTTTGATTTCCAAAGGAATGAGGATGAGCAGTATGCATTTTGGTTCTTGAAAGATGAGAGTAAGATCAAAATACAGTTCCCGTTAATAGTTATGCTACTCGAATGACAGAATACATGTGTGCAAAAACAAACATTGCCGGCCTCATCCTAAGTGCTCCCACCAGTTCACTGTTCTCACCTTAAGCATTGCTGCAGCGTGTGGGGACCAGTCCTCTCTCCCTGTCACAGATGAGCAGATGCACAGCAAGGCCCTGCCTCCTTCAGGCTTCCATAGCCCGCAGGTGGCACAGGTCCTGGCTCCTGAGTCAAGTCCTTTAGACAGACAGACATAGCAAGTATGATAC